GGTCAAAGTTGTTCCTTCGGCCGATTGCTCGGACTGACCGACTGACAGTGTCTTGGGCTCCCTGGGAAACTTGGCAGTGGTTCGTTACAGTATTGGGCTTGGTTGAGGGATGGGAGTTTGGGTTTGGTAAAGTAAAAGTCACTGGGCTGTAAGTTAGGTAAGGTAAGGTAAGTTTTTTCAATAATGATACCTCCATACCATGGTGGACGAGATGACATGGTAATATGACAGTCAACCATACCATAGGTCCAATGGTGCTGCACATATGATCTTCCATTACTTGGACGATACACTACCTGGAATGATCATCGAAGCCATCCTATCCTGACTTGACCACCTACTCTCATGAGTGTGCTCATTAGTTAATATATCAATTCCAGAGCAGTTCCGGAGGAAAAGCAGAAATCAAATAGTGTATTTCTCACGCGATGTGAGAGATCATGGTACTAGTGGCAAGATGCCAAGCTTACCTTACACACTGACCATCCGCCATCTGGTTTACCATAGTACGGACGGAGTATACCTTACCTATTACGTAGGGGACTTTCCCAATCTTTTCTTTTCCGTCAAGGTCAACGAGTCATGGTCCACCAGTGCCATCATCGATTTCTCCTTGTCTTGCACTCTTGCTGTCCTCAGAACATTTGAGGTTATCTGGGCTCGTAGGTTCAGGAACTGCTGTGAGATTGGGCACAGAGGAGGAACTTTCAGTGGCATGATTAAGATGAGATGCCATACTTTCTGGAGTTGATGGATGATCTATCATCATTATCTTAAGGTTGTCCCTGATTCATCTGTCACCAGGATCCATTACAGTATCGCTATTCTATACTTCCAGCCGATCTAGTCTGTCCCCATCATGAAGCAGATCTGCTTTCTGTGGGTCCAACGTCCATCTACCACCATCATTCTCGCCCATTCCAGCCACCTTTGTTCAATCGTCTCCGATTTCTAGTATCTTCCAGTCTATATGGGACAGAACTATACCATAGACTCAGAGAGTCGATCACCAAGTGACTCTAGATATGATTGATCAAATCCGCACCAATCGACACGATCATGCCTAATGAATAAGTTTGGAACATTTACCTTCCATTACCTGTAGCTACCGAAATTTTCTTGGTGCAGCAATTCTGTCTGACCATCCAATCGCGATGCTTCGCCTTGTCGAGCTTGGGCTTTAGTCGGAGGTCTGTTCTCTGCGTACGATTCGTCAGAGTCGACTACTAGGTACCTGATAGAGTAATGTTCATACCATCGCAATGATTCTCATTCGGTAGGTATGAAGTACAACGAATGAAAGAGCATCGTGCGAAATCATAGCTACAACATAACACCCCATTGTCCATATATTTGATATTCGATATGGTCATGAAACATTCATTATTATTATTATATCCATCTATTGAAGCCAACTATAACATGACTTATACCCAATTTCGTTGTGGAGCAGCGCAAGACCCTCATGGCGCTGTCAGCGTTTGACCCAAGAGTCTCCTAAGGATTTCTCCTGGGTCATTGGAAGGAGGTGGAAACTTTCACTTATACCTGTACAGCATCATCATTCGCTTATGCGACCCATTTTCAAGTCGGATCCCACGAGGAGTGGCTGCTTTAGAGGCAACCTTGGTTGAACTTGATGTCTTTACCGGGAGTTTTTCCTAACCTCTGTGATATGCACAAGCCCAAAGCTGTTTTCCTGAGCATATACAATTAGACGCCAAGTACCTATTTGCCTCCCATGCATCGTACAATAACGACTAGAGTTTCCAGTCAATAATTCTGCCTTTGGTTCTACCCTGACTTTGCATAGCATGATCAGCTTTGCAGGCAAGCGAACCGAGAACTCTTCCAGAGTACGGACTATGAGGGGGCGAATAGCTCTCGAGCATTGATCTTGACTGGAGTCGCATGTATTTTCCCCTAGCGAAGGACGACCTAGCGAAATGATTTTTCCCAAGCCAATTAATTCCCAATTACACCAAGCTCTCACAGGTCAGTCTCAGTCAGTCTCTACGGAGTACGAGGGGGTATCTCTCGATGATTAATTACATCATCGGGCCCCAACCGGCCAACCCATGTATCCTGGTCCAAGGGATTGCTCTCTGGGAATGATGATAGTGGCGCGGATATCGAGACGGGTGCTACTAGTCCATTTTGTCTTGCTGATCCAGCTGCTCAAGGCGTCTCGAACGTTGTAGATAGGTTTGATACCGTGGCAGAAAAGTGAAGGCGTCGTTGAATTACCTCATCTGCATTCTGAACACTACTAGATAGATTCCTGAGCTCCATAGCAAATATCGCCCTGAGTGTTATCATTCTTCTACGTTGAAGTCTCTTGACAGTCATGCAGGTATGCATGTATGCATGTATCTGATGCCTCGTCAAAGTCGAATTATTTTCTCCGTCGAAATGGTGTGCACTGTGCAAGCGCACAGGTCAACCGCCGGCCCGCATGAGAGTGCAGTCGAGCGGGTGGCCCCGAGTTTAACGGCGGTTTGCCTCCTATCTCGTCTATTGCCTCCTATTCTCGTCTATTATACGAAGTATCCATCCATGTTTGAAGTACAACTGACACCCAGCCGTTGCTTTCCTGGTAAAACAGCACCTCCTATTCCAGTAGGTTGCAGTGTGACTGACAGCGAAGACGATCTAATTAGCCCTGGCCAGGTTGGTTTGCTGAAATTCAAAAAACTAGCGCAATGGAAATTTATCAAAAGGTTATGTAAAGTAAAGTGGGATCATGATCATGACAGAAAGCTGGGGCCATCCCGTCCTCGGACGCTAGTTCGCTTACAGACTTACCTGCAGCCATCCATCATTCCATCCATGGATCTGTTCTGTTCGACCTTGTCCTGTGTCCTGTTTCCAGGCTGTGCAGACTGCAGACTGAGGATATCTCTCCGGGCTTAATATCAACCAGTCCTAAGGTACCCCTGCATCATCACTGCACTGAGGAGCGTCATTGCTACTGAATGCAGTACAGACTATGCATCGGTATCTTCCACATGTGTCGGCGTCTAGGTAGTAGGTATCTACCCCGGACCAGATTGGCATTTCAAGGAGCCAAGGACTGGATACGAATTTGTTGATGATGATGATTGGTAATCTTCTGGGAGCTGACCTCACTGTCTGGTTAGGATGATGGCCGCGTAGACTCTTACTATTACTGATAATTCGTTCTCAGCTGCCTCACTCAAACGAATGAAGAAAGTTCTGACGTGCTGCAAGCTGCTGCATCTTGCATTGGCTATCTGTGAACGGAGTATTGTGGAAGACACTTAGCCAGCCTTGACAATACTGGGTCAATTACTCCACTCCGTATTGAGGGAGGGATCAGAATGATACCTATGCTAAGTGAAGCGCCTCAATATACTATCTTCACAAGACACTAGCTTGTCTTCTGTATGAAGAAACGAGGATTGAGTCTAATCTCAGTATCAAGTACGTACCTATCTACCTATCTACCCCATGATCATCACTCCGATTGATATTTGCTTTTTCTCGCACGGTCAATGTCAATGCTTCTATTACCTACTTATGCCTCAGGTTGCAACCCCTCATGGCACTAACCCGGGGATGAGCTAGTTGCATATGTATGAATGCAATAATCCATCCCCATGAGCCCGTAGAAGAGACCAAGAGGGTATCAACCAATTCTGATTCGTGGCCAACTCGGCTGCAATTTCATATCCAGCTTGTAGCCGACCCGAGTCTGTGATTGAAGCGTCAGGTAGCACAAGGGACGCATGGACGTTCTGGTGCATTTTCGCCTTGGATTGGGTAGGAATACGGAGGCTGGGGTGTTTCTTGTCGGCGAAGGACAACAGAGAAGTGATGGATTCTTGTCTCTTCAGATGCCAGTCCAGTCTCTATCATTATTGTTGACACCCCGCGGTGTCTTGTTCCAATAGGAAATACTCCATGATATGGAGTACTCTGTACTCACCTATTGCTCTTCGTTTGCGAGACCCCGCATGAACACATGAAAAGTTCATCCCTTGCTTAAAAACGAATGGTCTACTCTGTGCTGATATCATTCAAGAGAGTAAATTAGTGATTGTTCGGAGAGGTCTGTTGTTATAAGAGAGTGTCTGTGGGGTAAATAGAGGATTCCTCCTTGGAACTCCTCACCTATTTTATAATTTGATCTCAATTCATGCTTCTGAGTACTACCATCTATATATATAATGCTACATATGTAACACTACACAATAAACACTCTATATATGTAAAGAATACAGATGATGGTGCGACCATCTGCTGTCTCACATTCTCTGCCTGAGACATGCCACTGATTGATAAGACAGACATGACCTTCATCCTCATCCTCATTCTATTACTTCACTCTATCTACTTTCTGTCTCCGTAGCATCACACTCTATCAAATAAAGTCTTACGCAACTCATGATGCAGTGCTCACCCCTCTAATCCAGTCAATGAAGGAGGATGGATCCCCCGCCGAGGGTTGCCAGTGCAACCCGCCCGTGTTTACCATCGCAGCTTCACTTGGCCCCTCCATTAATCTATTCGGCCTCTTCAACATATTCTTCTCACTGGTCATTCAACCTGCTTGTGTAATAGTGGAGGGTTGTAAGATCTAGACTGGGTCATAGACAGTCTGCGTAGATGACTTCTTACTCCAGAGTATATTGCTGTGCCCTTCAGGTAGGATGTGGATGTTGCCTGCGATGTTTACTGTTGCCGTTACCTTCACCTTCACCTTTGCCTCTCTCCTGCTCTCTTGGTATTTTCTTCGCAAAGGCGTCTTCTCCTAAATCCATCGAATTCGTCAATGGTCGTCCCCTTTAACAAAGGTGTTCCACGATCGTCCATAGTACAGTCCTGCTCCATGTCGGCCGATCTGGCGTCTGGCCGCGCCTACTCTAAATCTTCGTGACGAGCTAAGATCACCAATCTCGCTAGATGCATCGTGCATCATCTCAGATCGCAATCTTTATATCCATCAGAGTCTCTGACATCTCCGCTCCTACCCTTCCATGGATGACGGCTCTTTACAGAAACCTGGAATGGGCAGGACTGCCGTCATGAGCCTGACGTCCATTGTCTTGCTTGTGTCGCTGCTTGTCTGTCCTGCCCGCGCTGCGATTCCATACTCGCCATCCCATATCCTCTATACCCCCCACTACAACGGTTCTTTTGCCTACTTACTGCGGCCCAGTGACTTGCAGCAGAATGCCACTCAGTTCCTTTCGTTGAACGTCTCAGGAAAGGTCGATGCAGCCAGCCCAGAATACACGGTTCTTCTAGATGAGCTGCCCTTCCGCACTGACAACCAGTCCTCTGCCTTTGTTCCGGCTATTGATCAACGTGGTCACATCAAGGTCTACGGCGGGGACTGCCGCCAATCGCTCCAACAAGGAAGGCTTTGGGTGTTCACACCAAGTGTCAACAACTCGAGCGGCAATGGAACGTGGGAAAAGCGCGGTCTAGACTTGGGGCAAAGGGGGCCAGGAGTCAACAATTACGGACCCAACTATCTGTCTGCCGCCTTCGCCTGGGCCTCTTCTAATATGACGGAGAGCTTGCTGTATACCTTCGGTGGCATGTGTCCGTTCAATGCGAGCTCGAAAGCAACCTGGATCTATGCCGCCAACTATTCCCAGTCCACGATCGTCCTGAGTCCTCCGACCTCTGACCGTATCACTTCGTATCGGATATCAACCGCTGGCCAGCGCGCACCACCTATCCCGGAGGCGGGTTTCACAATTACTCCATTGCAACCCACCTACGCATTGTCTCCTTTAGGTCGAACACTACATCAACAGAACTTTCTCTTCATCGGGGGTCACACCCAGAAAGCCTTCATTAACATGTCCGAGCTTGCCATCTATTCTCTTCCGCAGGACAGCTGGAGCTTCGTCGCAGTCGACTCAGGGTTGGATGCGCAAAAAACCGAGCTTGCGGTTCGAGATTCAGCATTCGTCGAGCCAAGGTCGGGACACACGGCCGTTCTCTCACCGGACGGTAGCAAGGTCATCGTCTTCGGAGGATGGGTGGGCAGTACCGGTCGACCTGCTAATCCGCAACTGGCTATATTGGAGATGGGAGAAGAGTATGGAGGCACTGGCTCATGGCGGTGGGTGGTCCCATCTAACCAAGGAAGTGGACTCTCAGACGGAGCCGGGATCTATGGTCATGGAGCAGCAATGCTTCCTGGCGGTGTGATGATGATCGCCGGCGGGTACAGCACTTCCACAACAACGAAGCGGTCGGCAGCAGGGCCTCAGCCTAACTCCCGACTCTTTCTATACAATGTTACGTCTGGAAGCTGGTTGACTTCATATAGGAATCCGAGCCTGCCAGAATCCGTAGGAGCCTCTGGCGGCTCCACGTCTTCATTGTCGAAAAAGGCCGGGCTGGGTGCAGGACTCGGACTGGGAATTCCGTCAGCTGCAGGCTTGGCTGTGCTTGCTTGGTTCTACTGGCGGAGACGTCGTCTACGGCGGACTCGGGATCGCGAACTGCGCAAGCTCGCTCTCAGTGCACAAAGGGCACACTACTGGGGCAGGGACGAACCTGATATGGCGAGCAGCATCCGCATGCCCAAGACCAGGGACCCGAATAGGACCTTCTCATGGACTAGCGCTGGAAGTCAGAACGGCCAGGACAAAGGGGAAGCTGCTGCGGAGAGTACTAGCCTGCTTCGTGACATCCCGGCCCCCAATAGAAACAGCCAACAGAGCTTGGGAATGCGCCCTTACCGATATTCAGGGCCATACAGCGAGTACAGAAGAAGCGACGCTGCAGGTGAAATACATCCAATCGACGAACGTGATGAGGAGGAAACAAATTCTCGAGAGTTCGGCGACCCCAAGACTGCTGCGGCATCTGAATCATTCTTAGGCGCTGAATTTGTGACTCCTCGCAGTACAATGTCGAATTCACTCGGGATTCCATACCGAACTGTTAGGGCTGAACCCGCAGAGGAGCCACGCAAAGACGGACTTATGCCCTCAGACCAGGACGAGCGCACGTCGTCGAATCTTTCAGACTCGTCAACATCAGCTAGATCTGGCAGTAGTGCTCCTCCTCTCCAAGGGCCACTCCTCAGCCCTACAACTTTGCCAGATAATGGACGCGATTCGCCAGAAATGCCACCCTCGACGTCCACTCATGGTACAGGACTGTCCAGAGAGAAGCGCTACTCCTCGGACTCCTACTCTACCGCGCACACGACCCTTTCGCTACGTTGGGCCGAGGGGGAGCACCTTTTAAAAAATGATCCTGAGCCACACGTTCCAACTGAGCGACCCTCCATGATGCCACTGCAGACTCCCAAGACACGGACGTCTGGCTGGATGGGCAGCGTGCGTCGTGTGCTTTCCGGAACGCAGAAGCGTGTTACAGCGATACGAGACTCGACGACAGCCTCTCTGGCCTCGGGCATCGACCGGAGGAGTACGGTCCTCGGAGCTAGGCGGGTGGATGGTGCGCAGAATGAGTCGAAAGTCCCACGACGAGCCGTGAGTGCCTCGGCCGAGCTCTTCAGACGAAAACAGGGCGCCAGAGATTGGGGAGCAAGCAATCGAGTGTCACGGGATACCGGGCTTCAGACCATCAGGTCTTCTCGGGATGACTTGGCGTTGGACGGTCTGATAGGTTTGGACGATGAGGACTGGGACGTCGAGGGCGCAGCCGAGGGCAGACGGGTTCAAATGACATTCACCGTTCCCAAGGAGAGATTGAGAGTGGTTAATGCCACCGCCGAAGACCTGGAAAACATGTCTGAGAAGTCTATCAGTCGAAGTAACAGCGGAGCATGAAAAAACAGCCTACACCGCTAGACCTGTTAAAGGGCAGAAGGTATCTCCCATGTCCGCTACGATCAATTGTATATCCATAGAATTTTGTGGTTGTTGTTCTTCTTCTTCTTCTTCCCTTTCTTCGCTGCCGTTCTGGCAAAGGGTTTGATATCCGCGGCTGCTGTCAACTTTTATTCCTTGCCTCATTTCTTGTTTGTCTTGTTTTGAGCGTGTTGTTCTTTAAAGCCGGGTTGTGTCTGACGAACGGATATGGAATATGCTATGAAGCACGAAGACATGATCTTTTTTTTTTTTTCTTTCTTCTCTTCGCTTCTGGGTGGGGTTTTCATTTTGGCTGGTTTTTGTGGCCATAGGACAGACAGAGGTGTCGAACGTTGGAGGACAGAAGTAAATAGAAATCACTTGTTGTTTTGGATAATCCAGTTTAAAGACTACGGCGAGTCATGGGGAATTTACAATCACAGAGTAGAAATCGTTCACAGCTGTAGATTTAGTGGAAAGATTTAGCACAGCCGGTTCGAATGCGACGCGAGATGAGGTGGAAATTGATGAAAGCATCCGTCAGCAGCATGATATAGAAAAGCCCGAAAAAAAAAAACAAGAAACGCAGATAGCAGCTGCAACAAAAATTTTTGCAAACTATGATGTAGAGTCCAGAAGGAAAAAAAGGTCTATGAAGAGGCGGGGCCACCGCTGGAGCCGAGGGTAGGCTTCGTAGGAAGGGTCCTGGGCAGCGCGGGCAGCAGATTCTTTGCGCTCTCGCGGGCATACTGGGCCATGAGGGCATCCATGACGACGAGGGCGGACATGGCCTCGACGATGGGGACGGCACGCGGGGTGACGCAGGGGTCGTGGCGGCCCTTGGCCTCGAGGACGCCCTCCTCGAAGCCGTAGGAGGCGGTGGTCTGGGCCTGGCCGATGGTGGCGGGGGGTTTGAAGCCGACACGGAAGTAGATGGAGGCGCCGTTGGAGATGCCGCCCTGGATGCCGCCGGAGTTGTTGGTCTTGGTGGTCAGGCGCTGCGTGCTGGTGGTGTTGCTGCCGGTGCGGGTCTGGACCTCGGACACGATGAAGGGGTCGTTGTGGATGGAGCCGGGGACCTCGCAGCCGCCGAAGCCCGAGCCGATCTCGAAGCCCTTGGTGGCGGGGATGCTGAGCATGGCGTGCCCCAGCTTGGCCTCGAGCTTGTCGAAGCAGGGCTCGCCCAGGCCGACGGGGACGTTGCGGATCACGCAGGTGACCGTGCCGCCGATGCTGTCTTGGTTGTCCCGGAAGGTCTCGATCACTTTTGTCATGCGCGCCGCGGCGTCCTCGTTCGGGCAGCGGGTGGGGATGAAGGCGTCGACCGTCTTGCGGTCGATGGTCTCGATGAGTTTCAGGAACTCCGGGTTGGTCGACGGGGAGGGGTGCTCCGGGGTGGGGGGGAAAAGGTGTTCGCTGCCCACGGAGG